ATAAAAATATTGGGTAAGTATCGCTAAAAAGTAAAATTATGGTCCGCCCGAATGGTAGCAACCATCATAACCTAGACACAAAATAATCAGTCACTCGTTGAAATTCCCCGACCACATCCTATAGTTGAAACCTTAATCTCCGACAGAAACACAACACCACCAAGCCGAAGTTTCATTATACTGTACTGTGCTGTAGTCTCCTGCAAGGTGCTAGGTTACAGATGTTTGTCTCAGTCGGATAGTAGACACAGGAGAATTTCACAAAAGTTTTTGCTTGTTTTTTTTCGTTTAGGAGCCAAGAGACGCTGAGTTAGGTCAAGATGAGGAACCTCTAAGAAGCGATGGTGGTGAGCCAGCGAGAGGACAGCGAATGAACCATCTTGATAAGGAGAAAGACATGCCGCATGCTTTGACTGATGAACGTGCTGAGAACCGCAACAACGAACCCGTAATTATGATACCTACTTACTTTGACTTTTAAACTGAACAATAAAAAATGAGTCCGTGCTATCTTACAGGGACATTTTAAAGTAAATACAAGAAGAGTCAAGGTCGAAAACGTAATGCTTAAGAAACGTGTTTAATGATATTAATAACTTTATTTTAGCTTTATTTTCTTGTAATAGGAATGCACATTATAAAACATGAGGATACAGGCCGCTAACAGACGAACAGACAGTCATAGCGCGAGCAGAAGCTGAGTGCGATGTGGCTTTAGCGAACTCGTATAGTCGAAACATTACGAATATAACTATTTCATTCACTTTAAATGCACTTACATCATCAGTCTATTAATGTCCCCACTGCTGGGGCACAGGCCTTCCCTATGCTCGCCTGCTATAAATGCACCATCAATGTTAAATTGTTTCCACTAACGTGATTTCAACTGTGGTGCGGCCACTCTGACTGGTATTAAGTGTTATTACTGCCGAGCTGATTTACTTAAAGGATCATTCTGATAAGAATTTGTATTTTTTCCTAGTGCATGCTATGCATTTTAAAGTCATGTATTTTTCCTATAGCTTTTGGAATACAATCAACGAGAAAAAGATGAAAATGTAGATGAAGGTGCATCGTCCAATAATGATCCTGTGGTACAGAAACGGATACAATCCAACAGATACATTGAACGTAGTTACACCAGCAATGTTCCGGAGAATACGCAACATCTTACCATCGCGAGAAACCGTATACACGATGATGTCCGTGATAGTGAATTATATGAACGCATAATTGATTCACGTGGAGCACCCTTACATGATAGCGCAATATTATACGATAATCGAAGAACTCATAAAAATAACGGCGATAATAGCGAATACCATAAAGACGTTGCCGACACTAATGAACCAACTAGACATTTTAAACAATTTTCAAACACAATGGAATCTGATTACAAAAATATTATTAATGATAGAAATTATAAGATGGCAAAATTTATTATCAACCGTGAGCGACGTCAAGCAGAACCAAATAGCACTTTAATACTGTCTAGTACATCTACTGAAAAATCTCTTGCTGAAACCGCCAACGAAGATGATGAAACTGCCATTAAAAGGCATATAAAAAAGTTATCAGGAGAAGAATTAGAAGAACTACTGAATTCGCTGTCGGAGGAGAAAAAAGCACTGCTTAATAAAATAATGGATAACAGCCAGAATAACGATACACCAAATAAGCGTGAAATAACTAAGAAAGCGGGCGCTGTCGAAGAGAGTAATTACATGGAGAGCGGATTATCAGAATTAAGTAAGTTACAAGGCGGCAGTTCTCCAGTTGATATGAATACTGAATCTGCAATCGCTCAAAATTCTGAAACAGAAAACACAAAACAAGAAGTTCAAACTGAAAGCAGTGATATTTCAAACAAAATTCCTGAAACTGCCAAAGGAGAAACTTCTGAAAATAAAGTAAAATTGACAGATGAAGCACAAAATACAGAGGCCATTTCAAATTCTAACGAAGAAGATTCTAAACACTTGATATCTGATTCACAAAGTGCTAAACTAGAAAGCAAAAGACAAGCTAATATCGATTATTTTAAGAACGAAGATGAATCCTTTGATGATGCACAACTTACAGATAATTATATGAATTTACAAGACTTGGGTGAACCCTTTGAGGGTCAAGGATATGCTTGTGCATCTCATGAGGGAGACGTTTCACAATTGTTAGATGATGATGCACATAAACACGCTAATCAGGAATTCAAACGCGAGGTACTTTTAGACCAGCAAGCAGCGTTAGACGATTCGATTAAATCTCTTGAAGAATCATTCCCAAAAAGTAATTGTGAAGAGTCCGGTCAATACCTCGAATCAAATATGGCACCTCTCATAAGAGTCAAGAGAAAAGAAAAAAATCTTGATATCCAAAAAAGGGCTGCAGGTGTATTGTCAGACAGCAAAGTCGCTTATGTACCATACAAAGCTGAAAACGAGGACGTAGACAACGATGAAGGAAGTGAGTTTGACGATGACGGTTTTTACGACCGAACTGCTAATTACGTAAGAAATAACATTAACCGAGCCAATGCCGATGCGGCCCTTACTAAAGCCGCTTTCGAGCCTTTGAAAGAGAAATCTAAGCAACTTGTACTTAATAAAGAAAAATTAAAGTTATCCAAAAGCTCTTTAAACAAATTGAGCGCTGATACGAATAGTCTGGGATCAGATACTGACAGTGTTTTGTCTGGTATAGAAGGCGTTGATGACAATCTCATGTATAGTAGTGGAAACCGGAATAAACGCACTTTACAGGAGAACTTGGAAATGAAAGAAATGAGCCGAAACCTTCGTTCTACCCCAGTTGGAGATGATATTATAAAAACATCTGATACTCATATAAATATACCACATTATCAAGAAAATGATGCTTTTGGTGCTTTACCCCGTAGCTATGAAGGAGATTTAGGGCGATACAAAAGAATAAGACGTGTTAAGTCGTCATCCGAAGTTACTTGCGACGAGTAAAAGTTTAACACGTGTTGAATTTGATAACTTTAAGCATTTTGATTAATGTAATTTAAATAATAATATACACTGTTTTAGATTCGTTTATAAGTTTCAATGTAATTCAAATGTCTTCTTGATCTTAGAAGTAAATTGTATCTATTTAATCTTTGGTTTTATTTTAAACTACTATACGAGGTCCTTGCCTTTATTTCAAAAATTATCAGAGATCCTCCAAGATACTTGTATAATCCTCCAAAAGGCAACGAAATCGGGTATGATGTCAATACAGACGTGTGCTTTGCGCGAAGTTAGCTGGTTTGGTATGACAAATATGCGTACCAGTTGTTTAGTGATCTATACCTATATAGGTATGCACATTTTACCGCGGAACTTACCTTAACTTCACTTATATATTAATGATCTATAATTTAATTATCCTATTTTCTAAATCCTACCAATATTATAAATGTAAAAGTAATGAATACGAGCATTTGTACATAAGTCATGGATTTTTCATTGTGGGTTACCTACAATGCGAAGAGATGGCGCTGCCTTGCAGCTTAAGGCTAGGAAAATTTCGCTGAAATTAGGCTAATAGGGCCGTGGTAGCATAATGGTCAGTGCATTCGCCCGGATAGCGAAGGATGCGGGTTCGTGTCCCGTCCGCTGCCTGGTCCGCGTGGATTTTTTTCTAGTAAACTTTTCTTTAGATTTAAACATCTAGCAGTTAAATGCTTAAAAAATAAATAAAATCATAAGTCATGGAAATTTATACATATGAACATCTTTGAACGTCTTCTATCCGTTACCTACCCTAGTATCCTAACGCAAACCTTAGTAGTTTGGATTCTTGCATGATTCTCTAAACCTAAATTTAAATTTAACAGCAGTGTATCCTTGTCATTCTCTTTAATACCAGAATCGACACCAATGCTTACTTAAAAAAAAAAAGTGTGCACGGACCACACATCTGAAGAAAAAGCGGTGCATAAGGCATAAGGGAATGGAGCAACGCACGCATCTCTTATATATATATATATATATAATATATATCGGCGGCGTCATATATTCGCGTGTGCCGCTCGTGACGCCGTAGCGTTTCAGCCTTCGCCGAGGTACCCTTCAACTTTCATGGGCGTCGGGAAGAGCTGCGCACGCACCCCACGCACATACATTAATTTCATTTCATATATAAATATATATCATTATTTATGCCTCATAAATAATGATTTAGAAGAGGTATTGAAACTGTACGGAACCGATGCCGTACAAAATCAAATGACCAAATTTACCCTGAAAATCAAAAAAAACAAGATTTTGTGGTGCACTATTTTTGTACGGCACTACGTGATTTCTTATAATTTTTATGGATCTATCGATGGTAGAAATGCCGTACAAAAATATATGACCAAAATGTACTCCTCTTTACTTTTGAATTCTCACCTGCACTCAGTTGGAAAGCTTAACAGTGACGGCATATTGCAGAATCTTATTATTTAATGTCTTTCTATCTTTCTAAATAGGTCTTCTTGTGGTTCAAATGACCCATCAATTTTTGACACAGGCCTGTAGTGTAATATGATAAAGATTGTGCTACACTAACTCAATTTTGAGTTTTAACGAATTATAGTAACATAATTCTCTAAAGGAAGTTGAAGAAGCAACTTGATCATCATAAATAGATATTCTTTCAAACCACCAGCCCGTCATCTATCTATATTACAAAGAAATATGCAAAGATATAAAATAAATATAATTTGTCTTGACAAAATTCAAAGTAAATGCTTGTGTAATAAATAAAACATCAAAAGTTTAAAATATAAAATTTATTACATGGCAAAATTTGACAAAGAAAATAATATAAAATAAAATATATTGAGTTATTAAAATAACATTATGCATTATAAGAGCAGGAGTGTTAATCGTATTAAGACTAGGATTGTTAGCTCGCCTTTACATGGTAATACGTATATTATGGCAAAAGAGATTAACTTCAACAAGCTATACTATTACCGAACGGAACTGTCAGCGATAGGAAAGCCGTTTTCATTTTTCAGTTACTTTTGAAGCATAAAATTTATGTTCGCGAGTGTCGCGCGTATGTTTGAATGGCGTTCGCGGTGTCTCAATTAAAGTCGCCGGGCATACACCATGCACGTGTGATGTGTATTCGCGCTTGTAGCTTGTGCTGCCGTCTCCCAATACGAAGTGAGAAGTTGAGCCATGATGCCGAGTTACGCGTTCGACTTTTTCCACGCGTTCGGATCGCTCTGACCGTTGTCCATGTTCAGACCTAGAGAAGTTGCCGTAGGAACGTGCCTCTGACTGACCGTAGAAGTCTCCACCCACCTGAAGATTATCTCTAATAGTTACTCTCGGTTGTCGTTCAACAACCAACGTGGATTGTCCGTCTCTTTTTTGACTTCGTCGTGAATCTGTAGAGTCCGATTGTGAGATCACTGCCATATTGTCTCTGGCAGATCGGTGCATAGAACTAATGCTCTTTCTGTCGGAACTGTGCGAAGAGTTACTTATGTATTCACCACGTTCTGCGAGATTGCCAATACTTTTCCTTTGAGCAGCTGCAGTTGAGCTTATTGAATGATGTGCTTCTGTCGCCGATGTTACCCCTTTACGATGAAGAACGGCGTTGGTGGAATTAGAATCGGATACAAGATCAGAAGTGCGTTTATGATATCCACTTCGTGATGAATTATCAACAATAGTATTTGTTTCTCCACCACCATGCATTGCTCTCTGAAACTCGATGCTGGTTTTCGTTACACTATCGCTTAATTGGTTTCTGTTTACACTATGTGATTGGGAATGTGATGAAGTAGAAGAAGTCTGATTATTCACTTGACTTCTACTACCTATGTGTGTAGTTGATGAACTTCTATGTGTAGTGTTGCCATCTGAAGCGATATATTCGGCTTGTCCTCCGTGAATTGTTGAATTTATGGTCCGTTGAGTGCTGTCTATGACTTTTGATGCAGAAGTGGAATGTCGAGTTTCTTGAGTTATGTTTTGTTCATTATGGCTGCCTCGAGATACTTGAGATGATGCGCTAGAAGTACGGACTATTTGGTTCTCGGAAGTATTTTGTGAAGAAGGTATCTTCTGATCTCGAATGATTTGGCCCTTGACACGATTATCCGTACTGCACGATTGGATAACTCTTTGTTCTGTATAATCTTGTTTTGACATATTTGCTGTATTTTTTTGTATATGACTTTCAGATGTAACCTGGCGGAGGCGCTGGTTAGAGGATACATCTTGATTCGTTGTAGACGTGGTAGACTGATGTTCTGTATTCAGTATTCTCTGACTGTTATCTCCACCCTTAGGGAATCCAGGTCTTGGATAGGCCTCCACAGTATTTTTAGATTTCACTATATCAGAGCTTCCAGTGTCACCACCAGAAACGACGTGTGTTTCAACATTACGGGTAACGTTAACCCACTTTCCTGCAATTAACTTCTTTTCTGTCACCTGCTTTATCACTTTGGTTGTAGCAGTAGATGAAGAAATATTCTTAATGTTTCTAGAATCTGCTTTATTGATAGTACTCTTGTCTACAATATTTTGTGTTGTTGATCTATCTTTCGTGTTGCGAGTCTTATCGACGCTCATATGAGAAGATCCATGAATGATTTTTTCCGGAGATTCAGAGTGATCAGTAGAATCATATTGAGTATGTTTGACAGAAGTTCCAGATTGGTAATGTTTTGATGTTTTGTGCTCTGTATTATGAATACTACTTTGCTTGACATGTCGTTCTGTATGTACGTTATGAGTCTCGTCATCATGTCTGAACAAAGTCGTGTCTTTAGATTTTCCAGCAATTTCAGTCGATTGGACTTTTTCTTGCTTGGTTATATGGCCATTTGTGTAAAGATTATCTTTAGGTTTTATAGGACTTGACTTTTCAGCAGGTTGCCATTTTTGGGAACTTGGACGATCAAAATCGCCTTTGGGTTTTAAATTATCTTTAGGTCGTACTTGACTCGGTGTGACTCCAGGTTGCCATTGATTCCTAGGGCGATCTTCAAAATCACCATCTGGATGCAAGTTATCCTTTGGTTTCACTTGAACAGGTCTATCTCCTGGTGTCCATTTGGATTTTGTAGGTCTATCGAAATTGCCTTCTGGTCTCAAATTGTCTTTAGGACGAACTTGGGCAGGTGTTTCACCAGGTTGCCAATGTTGCTTAGGACGTTTGTCAAATTGACCTTCAGGACGCAAGTTGTCCTTAGGTCGCACTTGCGCAGGTGTTTCTCCGGGTTGCCACTCTGGTTTAGTTTGTTTATCAAAATCTCCTTCAGGTTTCAAATTATCCCTGGGACGTACTTGATTAGGTGTCTCACCGGGCTGCCACTGCGTTTTAGTACGTTTTTCAAATTCACCTTCAGGTTTTAAGTTATCTTTCGGCCTAACTTGAGGAGGTATCTCTCCAGGTTGCCACTGGGTTTTAGGGTGCCTATCAAATTCACCATCGGGTTTCAAATTGTCTTCAGGGCGAACCTGCTTTGGTCTTTCACCGGGTTGCCAATGATCTTTAGGCCTTCTTTCGAAATCTCCCTCTGGATGTAAATTATCTTGGGGTTTTGACAAATCTGGTTTATCACCTTTAGACCATTTAGGTCTAGAAGGTCTTTCAAAGGTTCCTTCCGGTTTCAAATTGTCAGATTGTTTGATTGGTGATCGTCTTTCCTCGTAAACTATTTCCTTCATTTCAGGACGTTTTTCAAATTCGCCTTCAGGTTTCAAATTGTCAGGGTGGTATATTATAGCAGATCTCTCACCTTTCGTAATTCTGTAGTCATCTCTGCGTGTGTGATCCTCAAAAACACCTTCAATTTTAAGGTTGTCTTCCCTGCGAGTAAGTTTTACTCTCTGACCTTTAACTACGCGATAAGTATCTGAAGAACGAATATTCTCCATCGTTCCTTCCATTTTCAGATTATCTTCATGCTTGACTATGGCTGTTCTATCTCCTTTGATAATATTATAGTCATTCCTCTGTTTCATATCAATGAACTCACCTTCTATCTTCAGATTATCTTCACGTCTAATAATATCCACACGTTCTATTTTTTGTCTTTGACGTAAATCATTCTCTCTTTCTATCGTAATGTTATCTACTTGTTTGAAAGGTTTTCTTTTTTCTGCTGGTTGTGAGGGAACAACTTCAGGTCTGTAGAATTTTCCGTCAGGTTTCAAATTATCCTGAGGTTTAATAACTGGTGCTCTTTCTCCTTTAGTTGCGCTATAATCATTACGAACTTTAAGGTCAATAAACTCTCCTTCAGTTTTTAAGTTATCTTCATATTTCTGAATAACAACTTTCTCTGTTTTTTCGATGCGCTTATAATCATCACGTGAACGTTGAATATCAATTTTGCCTTCCATTTTGAGATGATCTTCATGCTTGACAATATCGACTCTATCACCCCGTGTTGCAGTGTAATCGGTACGCCTTACTACATTCATGACGCCTTCAGGTTTCAGATTATCTTCTGGTTTCTTCTGAACTGGTCGTTCTCCTTTAACAGGTTTCGGTTTTTCTGGTCGTTCGAATTGACCTTCAGGTTTGAGATTGTCTTGTGGTTTTTTAGGTGTTTGTCTTTCAGCTGGTTGCCATTTGTCGTGTTTCGGCTTTTCAAAATCACCCTCGGGCTTAAGATTATCTTGAGGCTTCTTTGGTGTCTGACGATCAGCCGGCCTCCATTCATCATGTTTGGGTTTCTCAAATTCCCCTTCTGGTTTTAGGTTATCTTGCGGTTTTTTAGGTGTTTGACGTTCGGCTGGTTTCCATTCCTCATGTTTTGGCTTTTCAAATTCTCCCTCAGGTTTCAAGTTATCTTTAGGTTTTGTCTGTTCTCGTTTTTCAGCCGGCTTCCATTCGTCATGTTTAGGTGTTTCAAAATCACCCTCAGGCTTAAGATTATCTTTAGGTTTCCTGGGTGTTTGACGTTCAGCTGGTCGCCATTCGTCATGCTTGGGTTTTTCAAACTCACCTTCAGGTTTAAGGTTGTCTTGAGGTTTCTTTGGAGTCTGACGCTCGGCTGGTTTCCATTCGTCATGTTTTGGTTTTTCAAATTCTCCTTCGGGCCTTAAATTGTCTTTAGGTTTTTTAACTTCCGGTTTTTCAGCAGGTCGCCAATCATCATGCTTTGGTTGTTCAAATTCGCCCTCAGGTTTCAAATTATCCTTTGGTTTGGTAGGATGACGTTTTTCAGCTGGACGCCACTTATCTTGCTTCGGTGTTTCAAAATCACCTTCTGGTTTCAAGTTATCTTGAGGTTTTTTAGGTGTCGGACGTTCAGCAGGTCGCCACTCTTCATGTTTTGGTTGTTCAAATTCTCCCTCAGGTTTCAAATTATCCTTTGGTTTGGTAGGCTCCCGTTTTTCAGCTGGACGCCACTTATCATGCTTTGGTGTTTCAAAATGACCTTCCGGTTTCAAATTATCCTGTGGTTTCTTAGGTGTCTGACGTTCAGCTGGTCGCCACTCTTCATGTTTTGGTTGTTCAAATTCTCCCTCTGGTTTCAAGTTATCCTTAGGTTTGGTTGGCTCACGTTTTTCAGCTGGTCTCCATTTATCATGCTTTGGCGTTTCAAATTCTCCTTCAGGTCTCAAGTTGTCTTTAGGTTTGGTCTGTTCCCGTTTTTCAGCTGGTCGCCACTCATCATGTTTGGGTTGTTCAAATTCTCCCTCTGGTTTCAAGTTATCCTTTGGTTTAGTAGGCTCACGTTTTTCAGCTGGGCGCCACTTGTCTTGCTTCGGTGTTTCGAAATCACCTTCCGGTTTCAAGTTATCCTGGGGTTTCTTAGGTGTCTGACGTTCAGCTGGCTGCCATTCATCATGTTTGGGCTTTTCGAATTCCCCTTCAGGCCTTAGGTTATCCTGTGGTTTCTTGGGAGTTTGACGTTCTGCTGGTCGCCACTCATCATGTTTTGGTTGTTCAAATTCTCCCTCTGGTTTCAAATTATCTTTAGGTTTAGTTGGCTCACGTTTTTCAGCTGGCCTCCATTTATCATGTTTTGGCGTTTCAAATTCTCCTTCAGGTCTCAAGTTGTCTTTAGGTTTGGTCTGTTCCCGTTTTTCAGCTGGTCGCCACTCATCATGTTTGGGTTGTTCAAATTCTCCCTCTGGTTTCAAGTTATCTTTTGGTTTCGTAGGCTCACGTTTTTCAGCTGGGCGCCACTTGTCTTGCTTCGGTGTTTCGAAATCACCTTCCGGTTTCAAGTTGTCCTGGGGTTTCTTAGGTGTCTGACGTTCAGCTGGCTGCCATTCATCATGTTTGGGCTTTTCGAATTCCCCTTCAGGCCTTAGGTTATCCTGTGGTTTCTTGGGAGTTTGACGTTCAGCTGGTCGCCACTCATCATGTTTTGGTTGTTCAAATTCTCCCTCTGGTTTCAAATTATCTTTAGGTTTAGTTGGCTCACGTTTTTCAGCTGGCCTCCATTTATCATGTTTTGGCGTTTCAAATTCTCCTTCAGGTCTCAAGTTGTCTTTTGGTTTGGTCTGTTCCCGTTTTTCAGCTGGTCGCCACTCATCATGTTTGGGTTGTTCAAATTCTCCTTCTGGTTTCAAGTTATCCTTTGGTTTAGTAGGCTCACGTTTTTCAGCCGGTCTCCATTTATCATGCTTTGGCGTTTCAAATTCACCTTCCGGTTTCAAGTTATCTTGGGGTTTTTTAGGTGTTTGACGTTCAGCTGGCTGCCATTCATCATGTTTGGGCTTCTCAAATTCCCCTTCAGGTCTTAGGTTATCTTGAGGTTTCTTTGGAGTTTGGCGTTCAGCTGGTCGCCACTCCTCATGTTTCGGTTGTTCAAATTCTCCCTCTGGTTTCAAATTATCTTTAGGTTTAGTTGGCTCACGTTTTTCAGCTGGCCTCCATTTATCATGCTTTGGCGTTTCAAATTCTCCTTCAGGTCTCAAGTTGTCTTTAGGTTTGGTCTGTTCCCGTTTTTCAGCTGGTCGCCACTCATCAGGTTTGGGTTGTTCAAATTCTCCCTCTGGTTTCAAGTTATCCTTTGGTTTGGTTGGCTCACGTTTTTCAGCTGGGCGCCACTTGTCTTGCTTCGGTGTTTCGAAATCACCTTCCGGTTTCAAGTTATCCTGGGGTTTCTTAGGTGTCTGACGTTCAGCTGGCTGCCATTCATCATGTTTGGGCTTTTCGAATTCCCCTTCAGGCCTTAGGTTATCCTGTGGTTTCTTGGGAGTTTGACGTTCAGCTGGTCGCCACTCATCATGTTTTGGTTGTTCAAATTCTCCCTCTGGTTTCAAATTATCTTTAGGTTTAGTTGGCTCACGTTTTTCAGCTGGCTTCCATTTATCATGTTTTGGCGTTTCAAATTCACCTTCTGGTTTGAGATTATCCTGTGGTTTTTTCGGTGTTTGACGTTCAGCTGGTCTCCACTGATCATGTTTTGGTTGCTCAAATTCTCCCTCTGGTTTTAAGTTATCCTTAGGTTTACTTGGCTGACGTTTTTCAGCTGGTCTCCATTTATCATGCTTTGGCGTTTCAAATTCACCTTCCGGTTTCAAGTTATCTTGGGGTTTTTTAGGTATCTGACGTTCAGCTGGCTGCCATTCATCATGTTTGGGCTTCTCAAATTCCCCTTCAGGTCTCAGGTTATCTTGAGGTTTCTTTGGAGTTTGACGTTCAGCTGGTCGCCACTCCTCATGTTTCGGCTGTTCAAATTCTCCCTCTGGTTTCAAATTATCTTTAGGTTTAGTTGGCTCACGTTTTTCAGCTGGCCTCCATTTATCATGCGTTGGTGTTTCAAATTCTCCTTCTGGTCTCAAGTTGTCTTTAGGTTTGGTCTGTTCCCGTTTTTCAGCTGGTCTCCACTTGTCTTGTTTAGGTGTTTCAAACTCACCTTCTGGTTTGAGATTATCCTGTGGTTTTTTTGGTGTTTGACGTTCAGCTGGCCGCCACTCGTCATGCTTGGGTTGCTCGAATTCTCCTTCGGGTTTTAGATTATCTTTGGGTCTGGTTGGCTCTCTTTTTTCAGCCGGCCTCCACTTTTCATGCTTAGGACTTTCAAATTCACCCTCTGGTTTAAGATTGTCTTTGGGTTTGGTAGGTTCACGTTTTTCAGCTGGTTTCCACTCATCATGCTTAGGAGTTTCAAAGTCACCCTCCGGTCTTAGATTATCTTGAGGCTTTTTAGGTGTCTGGCGTTCAGCTGGTTTCCATTCTTCATGATGTGGTTTCTCAAACTCTCCCTCAGGTTTTAAATTGTCAATAGGTTTCTTTTGTTTCGGTTTTTCTGATATTTTTGGTCCATAATCGTCTTGCGATACAGTGTGATGTTCCATGTCACCTTCTCGTACGTGTAAATTATCTCTTCTTATGATTTGTTGTTGTCTTACATCGACTTCCTCAAAAGTTCTATACTCCTCCTGAGATGTAGTAATTTTTTGAAGATCTTCTGTAGAATAAAACTTTTCAAAATCTTCTTTTGTCCAAGTACGGCGTCTTTGAGGGCGTTCAACGGGCACAATTTTTTGTGTGAAGTCCTCTTGGTTGGATGTTATGTAATCAACTTCTCCTTCTCTTATAATATTATCAGTTCTCTTCGCGACCATTGTAGTTCTCTCAACAATATCGGTATAATCAATAAATTCAGATTTATTGGTGGTTTCAGTGATCATTTCTCCTTCTATCTTTGTCCATGTATTACGGCGAACTGGTGTTGGCCTCTCTACTGGTTTTGTTGTATATTCTGATCGGGTAGTTGTAGTATCTGTAAATAAAAATAAAGAACAATGCATTACAACAGAATAAAATATAAAATATTTTTAGATTTTTTGTGTGTTAATAATTATATCCTACCTGTGAACTCGCCTTCCGTAATTATATTATCCTGATGACGTATTATCTCTGTTTTTTCCGCGCGGATAAATTCATCAGGCTGTCTTTTGACAAAGTCACCCTCAGGTCTTAAATTGTCAACAGGTTTCTTCTGTATTGGTCGTTCCGCTGGCTTCCATTCTTCTTTTTTAGGAGTTGTAAATTCTCCCTCAGGTTTGAGGTTGTCTTCGGGTCGGCGGACTGGTTCACGTTCACCTGGTTGCCATTTTTCTGGTTGCCTTGTTTCAAAATCTCCCTCTGGTTTGAGATTATCTTGTGGTTTCTTTTGTTTAGGACGTTCTGCAGGTCTCCAAGGCTCCTTTTCCGGAGTTGTGAATTCTCCTTCCGGTTTAAGATTATCATCAGGTCTTCGCACCGGTGCTCGTTCACCAGGACGCCATTCTTCTGGTTGACGTTGTTCGAAGTCACCTTCAGGCCTTAAATTATCTTCTGGTTTCTTAGGCTTTTGACGTTCAGCTGGGCGCCAGGGCTCTTTTTCTGGGGTGGAAAATTCTCCTTCGGGTCGTAAATTATCGTATGGACGTCGTACTGGCTCCCTATCTCCAGGGCGCCACTCTTCAGGTCTGCGTTTTTCAAAATCACCTTCAGGCTTGAGATTGTCTTCTGGACGCTTGACAGGGGCTCTATCACCAGGACGCCATTCTTCGGGTTTCCTTTTTTCAAAATCGCCTTCAGGTCTAAGATTATCCTCGGGTTTTTTCGGCTGTTGTCGCTCTGCTGGGCGCCAAGGTTCCTTTTCGGGAGTTGTAAATTCTCCTTCTGGCCTTAAATTATCCTCAGGTCGTCGAATTCGTTCTCTATCACCAGGCTGCCATTGTTCGGGCTTGCGTTTTTCAAAGTCTCCTTCAGGTCTCAAATTATCTTCAGGACGTTTAACTGGAGCTCTATCTCCTGGTTGCCATGCTTCAGGCTTACGTTTTTCAAAGTCTCCTTCAGGCTTTAAATTATCTTCTGGGCGGCGCATCGGTACACGATCTCCAGGCCGCCATTCCTCGGGGCGTCGCTTTTCGAATTCACCTTCAGGATATAAGTTGTCTTCTGGACGGCGAACTGGAGCTCTCTCTCCGGGTTTCCAATCCTCAGGTCGACGTTTTTCAAAATCACCTTCAGGCTTAAGGTTATCTTCAGGACGCCGAACTGGTGCTCTGTCACCGGGCTGCCATTCTTGTGGTGTACGTTTTTCAAACTCACCCTCAGGTTTTAAGTTGTCGTCAGGTTTCTTAGGCTTTTGTCTTTCTGCAGGTCTCCATGGTTCCTTATCAGGGGTAGTGAACTCACCCTCTGGTCTTAAATTGTCATCAGGCTTACGTACGGGAGCTCGATCTCCGGGCTGCCATTCATGAGGTTTACGTTTTTCAAAATCACCTTCGGGTTTGAGGTTATCTTCAGGACGTCGTACGGGTGCTCTATCGCCTGGGCGCCATTCTTCTGGGCGCCTTTTTTCGAAGTCACCTTCAGGTTTAAGATTATCTTCTGGTTTTTTGACTGGAGCTCTCTCTCCTGGGCGCCATTCCTCAGGACGTCTCTTCTCGAAATCGCCTTCTGGTTTGAGATTGTCTTCAGGTTTTTTTTGTTTGGGTCTCTCTGCGGGCTGCCACTTAGGACGCTCCGGTTCCTGGAAGTCACCTTCTAAATGTAGATGATCTTCATGATGTACCGCGGTGGTGCGGGTGACGTGTTTCTCGTCGTAGTCCTGTTTGTATGCGGAGACCACGCTGGTCGTGTGCTCCACATCGAACAATGGCTCCGGGACATCGTTGTGTGGGCAACGGTGACGCCTGGAAAAAATGTTACAATTTAGAAATCTTATAATTCACATTTACAAAAAGAAATAGCATCAGGCATACATATGCGTCAATCTCTTTAATAAATATTTTTATTGGATTCTTGATGTGTAACATCTTTCCTCTCGCTTTCCTGCAATTTGTGGGAGTGATTCCGTGAAATGGGGCGGAAGTGTGTAACAGGAAGTCGCGAAAGCGCGCGCTATTTGATTTGATTTTAGAACATGATGTTAAAATGGCTTATTCCTTTTGTAGTAGGTTTTATTTTTTTTTTTAATAATATAAGGTGAGGTTTCAAATGTTACACATCATACGCGACTACTGTAAGGCTCGCTGGTTTTTTTATATTATAAATAGGCCCTTTTTCATTCGACTGCGGAGGGCAATGTTTTTATAGTATTTACACAAAATAGACAGTTGTATGTATGTATATCCATTCCTTTAGCACGATGAGAGCACGCCCTACAGTCTGAACAGTTTGATGGATTTTGACATGCGAATTGCGAGGTGCCATTTGATTCATTGTGCGTCATTGAGTGAGTGACATTAGTTAATGAAAATTTAAAAAAGTCTCATTTTTGCCACCAAAATGAAACATCTTGAAATAAAATTGCTTATAACATTCAAGTGGGGTATCAAAGTGAAAGGTTTTAAAGGAAAATTCAAAAAATATTAATAAAATACAACTTAACAAAAAAACTCGACCCGAAAATTTCGAAAATTAAATGGGCTGGGCTATTGATTTATTAAATTTACTTTTTTTTAATTTATTGGTAGGTCACACCTTTTGATACGATATGGATGTAAATATATTGGGAATCTCCTCGGCGCAGGCAGCGGCGGCAGTGTTAGAGATCCAGCCATCGCACGCATCCATCGCGACCGACTCTACGCCTCCTTCATGATAAGGACGAGTCCGATGGATTCATCAAATCATCACACTACACTGCTATTTGGTAAGTATACCCGGAAAATGTATCACTATACATAATATAACGACATATTCACATTTATCACTTGTCACTAAAGATTTGTAACTGACGACCCAGCCTACATTCACATTTTTAAACTGAATAGTGATTTAAAATAATTCTTCTAAAATAAGTTTGAAAAAACGTTTAGAACCATTCGTCGTAACCAATCGGAACCGATTCTAGCAAAGAATTATAAATAATTGGTTCCCTGAAGACAGACATATGTTCAAATTTAAGAGCTTTAATGATCGCACTGGGTTCGCGGCGCGTACTGCCCTAGGTTATGGCTTCGACCAAAAGTCTAGAGTTGGATTTACTAACAAAGAATGCACATCCTAATAGGGATTTCGAAAACCCCTTTTTCTATAGAGAATGAACGGATAGTGAGGGAAATAATATTAGCTAATTTTCGCCATTGCAAATAACAACGAATCATCCCAAATCACGATGCAGTTTAAATGACGCGCAAATGTGAATGAACCGTAACACTTCTTGTAAGATTATCAAAATCAAACCCGCTTAATTGAACTGAAAAGTTTCAACATTCCCAATGAGAGTTAAAACTAACCCTGTAAAGCTTGTGATCGCACTGGGTTCGCGGCGCGCACTGCCGTAGGTTATGGCTTCGACCAAAAGTTCGGCTTCAAATTAACTGAATGATCCGCCACTGAACTATAAATTTCTCTAACTACTTATACCACTGTACCTTACACCCTAGGTATCACTAGTTTCATTGGAATTCCAACATAACTTACAATCGACAACAGCCTTTGATTTACAGAAGAAAATACTGAAACAAAGCGCATCAGAATTCAGAAGAGATTTCTTTTTGCGAATGAATAGCCTAATGATTAGTTTTACCTCTTGCTACTTTCATGAACATCAATTAAATTGAATACTTGTCAAAATGACCTGCTGTATTTTTGTATTGTTATCACAAAACAAGGGAAAGCATCAACTTTAATCCTACTAATATTATAGGGTGATTTTTTTAAAGTTTCTATGTTCGTTGCTCAATCACGTAAAAACTACTGAACGTGTTTGTATGAAAGCTACGTATAAAGTTGACCTGGATTGAGACAGGGTACTTTTCATCCCGGAAAAATGATATATTCATGCACGATTCTCAAAAAAACAAAGTTCACGCGGGCGAAGTCGCGAGCGGCCGCTAGTCATATAAAAATAATTGACGTCTCTGAGTGTGGCCGTCAAACTTATCAATTTGTTGCTATCTACTTAGATTGTTCGGTTTATTGAAATTCGATTTGCTTTAAACTACCTAACATATCAAATATAGAAACGTTGTAATAATCCTGAAAACTCAGACAATGACCGCGTGACCTATTGTCGTTGCCTTGGTAACGCCCACCGAACCTTTCAGTGATTCAGTGAAATGTAGACAATAGAAAAGCTATACTGTACAGTAGAAGCAACATGTATGAATACAATTTGATATTGATAGCATAAGGCTTAGCAATGTGAGCCTAGTATTTATTAGGACAAGTAACACAACACCAATGTTAGCGTTATTTCCCGGTAATACCTTTTATTCTATAAATTAGAGGTTTTTCCTCAAAAGGAGTGCTCTAATTCGAATGGTTAGGCGCTATATCTTAACCCTTTTCAAGCATAAAGATTGGTATTGCTCCCGACTAGTAAGAAACATCATAACTACATGGTGCGATTAATCTCTTGATTTTTTTGTATCATGGGATTCTCGTAACTTGTGTAAATTTATCTCCAAGTTAGGTGAACGAGTAGTAGTATAGTCAGTGACATATAAAAACAAGTTTGTTTATTGTACGCCAAATGAATTAGTTAAAATAAATGTAAAAAATACCTAACTACAAAAATTTCTGTTTGACAATCAATTTATTTAGTCGGACGACAATCCTGAGTCTACAGCAATACTTAAATAAATGACCTAATGAAATATGTGATGATTAAACATGTGGCCGTCTGCAGCTCTGCATCTTATGCGGTTCATTCCAAATATAGGCATGCGTCAATGAGTTGATCGTGGTGCTAACCACTTTCTACGAAGAGAGCCTTGTCCCCGATACATAGATGAACTCAGACGCTTAAACACAGTACCTATTTGTTTAAAACATACGTAAAAATATTTATCCTTCTTTTATTTAGGAGATAATTTATTCACTTAAGAAAGTTGTTGACTGAGAAAAGGAGGTATTTACAGAGCCTGATATGGACTCGAAGAGTTTAGATATATGTATAAAAGTATTAAAAACGCATTTGAAACCCGTTAAAGCAATGTTTTATATAGCTATTCAACCAATTTAGAAATCATGCTTTATGCTAGACAGATGTAAATAATATTCATGCATGAATTTGTTTTTTAAAGCTAGATCCGTCCCGGTAGAGTATTAAAAGTACTAAATAAAAGCACATCCCATAATCACACTTCAATGATCTTATATTTGGCAATCATTAGTCTAAAAATTTTATCCAGCCAATCGCCAGCAAAAGTTTCCGAACCTGCTTCTAAATAAGCTTTCGTCATAAGTCTTCGATTCTCGAGTAGGTGCTTCTCTTCCTAGAAGAATTTAATAACAGGCCGCATTCTATATTTATTTTTTACTCCCACCTTCTAAAATTTACAATTCACATCATGAAACATCTTCAATCGATCTAACAGTAAAGCTCACATCGATTGTGTTTTTTCAGGAAATATATTGAAAGATAAGCGGGTTGTCATAAATTGTGTGTCGCCTAGCGATTAGCAGCAAACATATCCAAATCAGTCCTCTAACTACTGGATAATTGCGATCAATACACACCACTACTCATCATACTACGTACGTAAACATAGAGTATGAGTAGAGGTACTACTTAATCATAGTCTGACAGTTCTGGAAATGGATTTTTTTATTGACTTAAAAAGTTTACTCAGGTCAAATTATCTCGGTAAAATATTTCCTTTATTTTCGGGTTACGAAAAGTGTTGAATCCTATATCTTTTTTGTATAACTAACAAACAGTTCATAATGGGGTCCCACTATCATTTTAATTGAAGCAATTAGAACTTCCAAAAGCAACTTTGTTTTTACAAAACTACACGAGGAATCAATCATAATATTACCTTAAAACGAACACCATGGAACACTTTTTATTTTAAAAACAATGTTTTCATAAAGAAACCATCGTTCACAACAACATCCATTTGAAATCGATCAGGAAGTGAACTGGTGTCCCTCGATTCAGTAGATACCGTATAATATGCAATAAAGCTACTATCAGATAACAGGAATGTTTTTCATTTAGGCTTTCTAGTTAATGAGTTAATGCCTTAGTAAAAAGACATGAGCCAAAATGTGCAATCAAGTTGGTTAAAACTGTTTATCGAGATAATTTAATAACTTTCGGGGGCCAAATAAACTCATGCGCGCATCGAAATTTTAGCTCTTTTTTCAGTCGTTTGCTTGTAGCTCGAGAACGGTAAGTCCAACAGAAAATTTTACGCTATTCAGTGTAAAAGAGGATTAAATTTTGCGTCGAATTCAAATTTAGTTCAACCGAAATCTAAAGTTTGAAGAACTTATATTTTGCGACTTTCCATGCCACATATCTTCAGATTAAACTCCTAAGACTGATACCAAGTAATTAAGAATCTCTGTCTAACCTAATCTAATCCATTCAACCGTTTTTGCGTGATTGAATATAATAATTAAACAAATTTTCACATGTAGGAATTGTAGGATATTCGCCATAATTAAGATGAGTGAAGTTTTGGAGTATAATCAATTATTAATACTTAAGTACTTAATAGTGTACCTATTTGAGATTCTAATATGGATATGACAGCATTACAATTTATGAATCAGTCGTGTCGTGGCATCAGAGGTCGTGGCAATGAGAGTTCTAAGAAGAGTCTCACTTGACTCTGAAAATTAATTTTGTAAATAGGTTATCACGCCATTTAAATACTTTTAAAAAATCGCATCAATTTATATTATAACTTTAGATCTTTTACCAAACAATACATAAATATTTGGAGAGATT